TACAGTCGATAGACAGCCAGGGGATGAGACTGTCAGGGAGGGAGTGGAGAGGGAGCAGGAAGGACAGACCCGCTTCTCTGCTTCTGCTAAGCAAACTGGAGGTCATGTGATTTGCTCTGGCCAATGAAATGGAGCGGAAATGATGTGTGTCACTCCCAGGAGATGCATTAAACTGCTGCACTTGACCTACCTTCCTGGTCTTCTCCTGCCTTGCCCATGTCAATGTATCTATTTACATGGAAGTGCCATAGATCAGCAAGAAACGGTGTCAATGAAGAAAAACAAACCCACTACAACTTCACATTAAAGCCACTGAGATTTCTGGGTCCTTTCCTGTTCTGCCCTCTTTCTGACAGTCTGTCTCTCTGTCACGCCTTTCTTATCTTTTCCTTCCTTTCCTCTCCTCTTTATTCTGTATGTCCGCTGCTCTCCTAACTATAAAAAATAAAAATCATGATGTTTTGTATTTCCATTCTTAATCTGAAACATGGATAGATCTGTTTTTTGAAAAAATAATTAAAATTTCTGAATTAAACTTTTCACAATTCTCTCTTTTAAAAAAAGCCTGGAGGTAGATTAAAAATCAGCTTTAGCTTATGTAAAAGATAGATGCTTTGAAAACCTTACTATGTTACATAAACATATGGGGCTACTATTGCGAACAGGCTCTCAATTGATTTTCTTGTGTGGGTTCGTGGCTATCAGGATAAATAAAAACAGACATAAACCTCCCCTGAACACCATGCCCCGGCCGCCAGCTGAGAAACCAGAGCTCCCTCTGGAGTGGGCTCCGAACAGGAACTCACAGCGTCATCAGCCCCTTCGTTGTCATGGGTGACTTGGTTAAGAGGCGACTGCAGCGGCAGTGCCCAGAAGCCTGTGCGAGACTAAAGCACATCTGAAGTTATCACCAGAACTCATTTCCATGCACACAGTGCTTGGACCTGAGGTCACCCCCCCACTCCACGAGTTGTTTCAAGCAATTAAAGTCACTCCAGACAGGAAGCAGCAGAAAAAGCAAGAGCAGGAAAATGCAACGGTGGCCTGGATGGTCATGCAGACTCAAACACGCAGATGTGTACTCTGAAAAACTGCTCAACAAGCTCTCGTTTCAAACAAAACATGCTCTACTGGGAAAACACAACGGGGACTATCAGGCCACTGTACAACACCGAGGAGAGAACGCGATGGTTCTACACATCGTAAGACCTTGTGCAGGGAGGAGAGGGGAAGTCTACGCCAGTTACATGAGGTGGAGGAGAACATGCAAAAGGAGCACGAACCAGACGGGGCATTCTGAAGTTCACTTACTGCCTGCTTTTGCTCTTCCTCCTAGAGGCGGTGAAAACAACAAAAAAGGTAGAGGAAAAGGAGAGAGATTAATGCCCATCACCACAAACATTTGGAAGAAATGACAGGACAGGTCCCATTAGGCCAGGCCAATGGGTTCGGAGATCAGAGCCCTGACCACCACAGCACATCATCAGCTGACAGGGCCAAGGGCTGGCCCCTGCCCCACCCGGCTCATTAAATGGGAACTTCTAGAGTCGCAAAGAAAGAACCTCAGAAACCATCTAGTCCAATTCTTCACTGTACGCATCAAAAAGACTCAGGGCGCTTGACTTGCCCAACATTTAACTGTTTAGGGTAAACCGAAAGCAGCAGCTCAACCATGACTGGACAGCCCCATCATCAGTTTCACCCCTCAGAGTATTCATAGGTGTTGAGGCACAGTTATCCCGGTGGCGGTACTCGAAGTGTGAGATACGGACCAGCAGCAGCAGCACCTGAAAACCTGTCCGAGATGCAGATTTTGGGCCCCGCCCCAGACAAACTGGATCAAAAGTCTTGGGTGTGGGGCACGACAGTGTGTTTAATGAGCACACTGATTCGATGACTGCTAGTTTGAGAACCACGGCTCTAAGAACTTCCTCAGCTAGCGATCCACATGTCCACGGATTCATCTCCAACGTAGTCCCCTCCCCTCCCCTCCACGTGCTTTTGGGCTGCTTTGGGGTTTTTCAAAGATGCATGTGCACCCCCATCCCTGTAGGACACTGGGAACTGCTGTAGGGCCCTGAGAGACCTCACTGTCTCATTAGCTCCATGAGGATTCACTTAGTACTTCTTACGCATCAGGCTCTGGAGTCACGAGATGGTCTCTGTCTGTCTTTTACAGCCTTGCAGCAATGGTGCGCAGAGCAGACACCTGTTAACTACCCTGTCAGAACGCACCAGCAGGCGCTATAGGAAGACGCACAGGGAAGAGAGATACGCATTTCCACCTTCCTCTCTCCTCAGCCCACTGTTCCTCAGCGACTCCGTCTTTTAATGGATGTCTTTGCTTCCTTTCTGTGCCTCGTCGTGGGTAACTGTGGTCAGGGATCCTCTGCTCTTTGGCCCAGGTGTACACATCTACAAGCTGTTGCCCTGGTTCTATTTAAATTGGATCCATCCAGGCAGTCTTTTTTAAAAAAATATATTTTTTATTGATTTCAGAGAGGAAGGAAGAGAGATATAAAACATCAATGATGAGAGTCATTGATTGGCTGCCTCTTGCATGCCTCCTACTGGGGACTGAGCCCACAACCGGGCATGTGCTCCGACCAGGGATTGAACCATGACCTCCTGGTTTATAGGTTGTCACTCAACCACTGAGCCACACCGGTCGGGCCAAGCAGACTTGACGGAACATACGGTCTTAGGGAAGGATGAGGGCTTCTCAGTGTGCAGATCTGGGTGCAATGGCAAGAAGGGCTTCAGTAAAGCCAAGAAATTACAAAAGGGAGAGAGTAAGTAAAAATTTGGTGAAAATAATTTTATTCCTGCAAGGGAAAAACGTGGACTAGAAATTAAACGGGCACCAAAAAATTTCCAACTCAGCCCAGGAAGATGGTCTCATAATCAAAGCCAGCTGCGAGATGCCGGCCAAACCTACACTCACAGGAGCCGAGTCAGCCTGAGAGGCTGGGTCTTGAAGCTTTTGCGTCTGGCAGTCATGGCTCTAATTGGGAGGGGTTCCAGTTTTGCAGGTAGGAAACCCTCTCCCTTCCTAGCCAGGCTTCCCAGGGCAGGCGGGGCGGGGGGGCGATAAGGCAAGGAGAGTTAGAAAACAATTTTAAAATGTAGAGTTTTGCGGGCATTAAGTGTTGAAATGGAAATTGAGATGGTGAGGGAGGGATGGGGCAATGTTGTGACCCAACCATAAAATTATTTTCGTTGCTACTTCATAACTGTCATGTTGCTACTGTTATGAATCGTCATGTAAATATCTGATATGCAGGATGGTCTTAGGCGACCCCTGTGAAAGGGTTGTTCGACCGCCAAAGGGGTCGCGACCCACAGGTTGAGAACCGCTGCCTTAGAGGCTGACATTGCACCTGAGGGCAAAAGACCAGCATGTACTTTCTTAGAACTGTTCCTAAGACACTCCCTCTTCCCAGTGTTTCTCCCGGTTTGGGGCTGGGGCAAACGTTGCTTTGGTTCAGCCGAACAGGGACGTCTCACAAAGCAATGCTTCCTGTGCACACGTGGTGACCGTGGCGTGTAGTTTGTCCAAAGACATGAGACCATGAAAATCTGTCAGGCGAGGATGGGGAGGCGGACAGGGCGGTGTGTTCAGGACTGAGAGGCCGCCCGTGAGCACTGGGGTCGGGAGAGGGTGGACTTTGGCAAAGTGTTACTCAGGACAGTGTTGCATGATTTAAACTCACAAAAGTCATTCAGATAACGCCCTGAAGGCTCTGTCAACACAGAAAACAGGCCAGATAGAAGGTCTTAGAACATTTCTGTTATCGATGGGTCAGTTAGTGTCAGTAAACACTGGCTGATGACAAGGCAGAGAAGCCAACTTGATTTAAAGGGGCAATAACACCTTCGTTATAAAGCGGACACCTAGAGCTGTTGTGTCACCTAAGACATGTGAGACTCTCACACAGGGAGAGTCTGGCTGGGTGGCCAGTGAAACGCCACAGCCATTGTAGTCATCTATAGAAAAATTTATATTCGCCAAAACGACCCTGGTGAGGCTGGGACGGCCCCAGTGAGGCCGAAATGACCCTGCAATGTACGGCACCGGCAAGGTCGGGACGGCCCCGGTGAGGTCAGGATGGCCCCAGTGAGGCTGAAATGGCCCGGTGAGGTAGAGATAGCCCCGAGGAGGTCGGGACGGCCCCAGTGAGGTTGGGACAGCCCCAGTGAGGTCGGGACGGCCCCGGTGAGGTCAAGACGGCCCTGGTAAGGACGAAACAGCCCCAGTGAGGTTGGGACGGCTCCAGTGAGGTTGGGACAGATAATGGGACCAGTAGGGGGGCCAAGGGAGTGTCAGGGGGAGTGGAAGGAAACATATGTAATACTCTTTGTAATACTTCAAGAAATAAAAATTATTTAAAAAGAAAAAGAAAAATTTATATTCAAAACCTCACTTCCAAATTCAAAACTGCAGAATTCATCTGGTACATCTGTTTCAAAAGCAATAATGGAAAATGAGGTAGAAAATTATTGGGAACGTGATTTAGAAATGGAAACATCAACACATAACCATTTCTAGATTACAGAAGTTTGAGACAGAGGTTACCGATATACTCATTAATTGAGGTAGGGGGCTGCTTAAATAAATTTTTTTTTGGGAAAGATACAGTCTGAAACATGGGTACCTGAGTGTCCTCCACATTATGTCATTAAAATACCAAAACAATAAGGTCCCTGATACTCCTCGGTGACAGGAATTGAGTCTTATTCACCATTAACGCCAAACACCCAAATACGACACTAAGGATTTCAGTACTTTTTTTAATTAAATAAATGTATGATTAATTTTTACCCAGCCTTGTTCCCCGCCCCCCAAAAAAGATTTAAGATTTTTGTTAAATGAATTCATTTACAGGGGTGATGCTTCATATGCATGCTTCTCTCCAAGTACATAATATTTCAGGAAAGGGGAGGAAGAACTCCCTGTGGGGTGGGAGCTTGCGAGGTGGGTTTTAACTGATGAGCGTCCCGGAGCAGGGGGCTGACTGTCCATCTGACTAACTGCTTACAGCTGTTTTAGGAGAGAATTAAATGCCAGCAGACTGGACATCAACAGAAGCTGGACGGTCCTTTGAAATTAAAATTAGAATGGCAAAGGGCATTTCTAGTACGCATTGGTGAATATGTACTTTTTAATGGTAGGAAAACATGTTTGAAATTTTAATAGAAGCCGGTGATTCCTATGCAAATGAAGACTGCAGTCCTTCTCGGAAGCTGGACACGAAAGAAATGAGACTTCAACTGTGAATTCTCATCAGTGGACACAAAGACAACACCCCTGGTGTGTCTGCAACTCCCCCTCCATCTGAACGGCTCAGCCTAACAGGTGGGTGAACGATAGGGTGTTTAAGAACCTGACAGGGGACCCTACGCAGCAATGGGCGGCAGGGTCCCGCTGATTCTACTGGAATTGTGACTGTCGGCCAACAGCGAGAAGTGCAGGGTCAGAGTGCCAGGCGTCAGCTCCTTCTGCTTATCCCAGACTACAAGCCTCAGAGCTGGACACAAGGTCACAGCAATGCATGCGGGGCTCCGTGTCGGGAGCCCTCAGTGAGAAACCCGGAGGGCAACCAGCTGACGGGAAAACGCACAGTGGTACTTGGAGGAAATTCATCGTGACTTCCCTTCGCTGGTGTAACCCTTTCACCTTTTAAAAAAGATCAGCCTGGGGTACCTTCCCATCTGCCTGGGCGGCGTCTGAGAGCATCTTTCTGGAAGGGAGGTTTGACACAGGGCAGGAGTGAGGGGGAGAGGCGCCGTTGTTATCTCCTGACCTGCTGGTGGACTAACCTCCCAGTGGCAGGGCTCCCAAAGCCCCCAAGGGCACAGATGTTCCACAGGCCAACATCTCTGCTGTGCTGCGTGGCTGACGGGTTGCTTAGCTGCATACCTGACAATTATTGCAGGGATCTGGGCCAGGTTCTATGCATAAGGTTTTCTTGAAACGTGACCCATTTAGACTTCAAACATTTCGCAGGAGAAACCCTGTCAACAGGGATAATGTAGAAACACGTCTAGGCAAAAACAACCCCAACATCCAGGATCAAAGCGAGAAGCAAATGGAACTCAAGACTAAAAGAAGTGACTATCCTGAGCAAGCCAAACGCATCTATCCGAGTTGCTAACACCACCAGCTTCATCTCAAGGGACGGGCTTAGAACGGAGGAGCTGACGAACAGCTGGCATGTTCCCAGGTGATTTCCCAGGGCTGCCACCTGGTCGGGACCCTGGTCACTTCGGACCTGGGTGGTCTCGAGTCTCCTGTTGTCCTTTAGTTTCTCCCCTTTCTCACCCGTCTGCATCGTTTCCTATTTTTTCAAAACCTTCAGAGACTCCCCTTATCACAGGATTAAATCCACCGCTCAGCCTGCTTTGAGGTCCTCCACATTTTTCTATTTCCACTCGGGCTGCTGACTTTGTCTGTCACAAAACACAGCAGTTTCAGGGCACAGACCTTGGGAGTGAGCAGCGTGAACAAATGTGCCTGGCACTGCTGTTGCACAGCTGGGCAAACACTTCTCTCAGTGCCAGTAACACTGCCCGGGTGAGGGCACTCCCATGCCAAGGTGCCTTGCTCTGCTCTGGGGTGTGGGGGTTGTAATGTAGTCTTCAACAAAAATAGATAGTGAGACCTGAATTATCCCAGACTTATTCAAGCCCAAGGCACCAAACCTAGAGCTAACAAGCTACTTTATTCCTCCCAATATAGTGATTAGAGTTGGTTCGATGAGATTGGTGTGCTTCTGCAACACTCACTAACAAGGGACACCTACTATTTGTAGGAGGAATATCTGAATATTTGTCTTAAAAGAAACTTCAAACAGCTGGGGAATATTCACTTCTCCATAGCCAATCTGCCATCTGTAAACATTCATAAGAGCAACTATTCCAGAACATTGCCCTGGCCCCGGTCACTAACTTTTTCTTTCACAGCCGGGCTTTACGCTGATGTCGGTGACCGTTACACGGAATTCGACGGCCGCTATGGAGGTTAACCTGGGAACTGGGACTAGGCCGCAGCATGTAAGCCTCTCGCCTCCTCCTGTTCGACATCACAGGGGAGGCCGAGCTGCACTGTGGTGGGAGGTGGACAAGGCGGGGGGGCGGGGAGGAGCCTGAGAGCAGGCTCTTACCTTCAGTAGCTTCATGAGCCCCTCCAGCTGAACCATCAGCTCCCGCCTGCTCTCCTGCAGAGCCGACATCCGCTGCTCCAGCTCGTCTTTCCTTTGCCTGGCCAAGAGGAACGGCCCATCAGAAACGAAACTCAGGAAAAAGGGCCGAAGGCCAGGTAGCATCGCTTTTGGACCCGGTTCTGCTACTTACGAGTGTCTGAGATGCTGATCAAGTCATTTAACCTCTGATGCCTTAGGTATAAAGGAATTACGTATCTATTTAGCCCGCTTTACCACTGTGAGAATAGCAGGTAAACGTGCTCTGGAAAGTATACATGGCCAAGTAGAGGAAAAGTATAATTATTAAAGTAATTGAAAAAATTCTTCATCAGGAAGTCAAATACCTCCTTCAGAGAAATACAGAGAACCGGTCCAAGTTTAAATGAATAGTGGAGAAAAGGTGTAAACACTGCGCAGGGAAGATGGGGTTTAGTAGTCGGGGCTGCCAGCACCAGACAGCAGGTGCTAGAAGCGTGACGGACTCAGGAGGACTGTGTCTAACAGAACTCTGCTCCCTGAGGACAGCTTCACGTCAACTCCAGCTCAATATGTCCAAAATGAAACTTAAGATTTTCCTCCTCCAATGGTTCTCTTTCCCAACTTCCTCGTCTCTCACTTTTCCATTCCAGTTGTCATAGCTGAAAAACTCCGCCCTCTTTCATACTTTCCTATTTATATACTATATTCTATTAAGTCACCCAATTCAGATAATTCTTTTCTGGAAATTTTTGTGTCCATCTTTCTATTCTGACTTCTCCCACTTTCTCCAAGTGCTCCTTACGTCACACACACACACGTCTCTTAGCCTGATTAATCCTGATTTCATCTACTATGGTGAGGAAAAAGCAGTGCAGGACTGAGGCCCATCACTTACTAAATATGCAGCCTTGATCACGCCACTTAACCTGTCTGAGCCTCCATTTTCTGTTCTGTAAAATGGGACTGATAATCAGTAACATTAATATTTTGAGGAACAATTAAGATAATGACTGTGAAAGTGTTTATTGAAGCTTGCAATCCTGCTCAAAGGAAAGCTGTATTCATTTCATCATCCAATGCCATCACCTCAATAGAATTTCTAGCATCACTGACTCTTGCCCTGCACAATCTAGACCTTGGCTCTCTAATATGGCACCCAGGAGCCACACGTGCCTACTCAGCACTTGAAACATGGCTAGTCTGCACTGAGATGCTCTGAAAGTGACACACACACACACACACACACACGATTCAAATTTTTAGTGTGGACAAAAGAAAGTAAAATATTTCATTACTATTTTTTCAGCGTCGATTACATGTGGAAATGATAATATTTGGGCTATATCAGGTCAAGTAAAAGCCAGTATTACAATGAATGACATCTAGTTCCTTTGAGTTTCTCACTGTGGCTGTTAGAAAAGTGTTAATTACACATGTGTGTCACTGTCGTTTACGGAGAGCACAGCCCCAGACCCCACCTTCAATCCTATCGCTAGCACCCCACCTCCTATTCCCTCTTAGGTCTGGACCTCCAGGTGGTTTACTTTCCCCTAAACAGACCCCATACATTTAGGACTCACAGCCATCCCACCCCCTTGCGAATGTTATTCACTCCTTCATGTCCAAGCGTCGGAAGCAGCCACAGAAAGAGTGGACTCCGCGGTGTCTGCTCTAACGTGACTAACTGTTCTGATAAACGGGCTCTACCTCACTAATGTGGTTCCCTGGGACATAAACTCTCACCCAGGCAGACTGTCACCGACGCGGCATCCCCACTTACCGCAGCAGCCGCAGCTCTGCCAGCAGCGTGGGGTTCTGCTGGGCCTTCTCAGGGGTGGGCTGGGAGGCCTGCTCGTGCTCTAGGCGGAGACGCTGGATCTCCTGCAGGATCTCTCTAGAGGGGGTGCAGAGAGGGAGATGCCACACAGGCCTTCACAGCCCCCTCTCCTGCGGACAGGCTTCACTCCAGTAGTGCAGCCTCCACCAGTCTCACTCTGATCGCTTCCAAATGACCAGGATGTGAAACGTCACCCTCCTAATTCTGTGGCACTTGACACTTAAGGAAACAATCCTTTGTGGTAGAAAAAGCCATAAAAATACTCAAGAGCTTGAAGAACTCCCCACAGAAGGAAAATGACAACCACAATATTCTGCCCCTCTCTAGGGCCGTGGTCGGCAAACTGTGGCTCGCGAGCCACATGCGACTTTTTGGCCCCTTGAGTGTGGCTCTTCCACAAGTACCATGTGCAGGCGCACGTATAGTGCGATTGAAACTTCGTGGCCCATGCGCAGAAGTTGGTTTTCGGCCTGGGCGAGGCTATTTTGAAGAAGTACTGTTGATATTTGGCTCTGTTGACTAATGAGTTTGCCAACCACTGCTCTAGGGAAAGGACAAGCGGACTGTGCTAACTCCCCCAAGTCCTCCTCTGACCCCCAAGAGATGGACAGCTGCTTCTACCGATGCGTTATGTTACATCCAATCTCTTGGGCCTAGTTTCTACCTTTCAGTGAATAATGGCGTGTTGTCCAGTCTCCAAGCCTTTAAAAGACCAGACGGTCACATGCAGCTAATCAGCCAAAACAAGATGACTGGGTCGAGCACAAGGCTGCTGGGAGTGAAGAAAGAAACCATGAGCCCCAGGGACTCAGCTATGAATGGAGAAGGCACTGGGAAGAATCTCCGAGGGTAGGTGAGCAGGCTTTTGGACCAGCACAAGGGACACCATGCAGATACGCAAGGTAGTGTCCAGGGAATTTACTGGACGTGGGCTGGCCTATAGTCCCCGAGGTGGGGACTTCCGTTGTGGTCCAAAGCCATCTAGTCTGCAAGGAAAATGAGAATCAGATACTCCCGTGACCATCTTGGACTTCAGCAACGGGCTCAGCCCCTGCTTTCTTACCTGTTCTTGTTTTCCAGTTCTGCAATAAGCTGTCTTTGTTGCTTGTTGGCATCCAAGTTAAAGCTCAAGTCGGTGGGAGGACGGGTCTACAGTGAGGAGAAAGGAAGGTCTGTTGGTGTGTGTGTTTTTTTCTGATTCAAATATATCCAGAGGCCTAGACAGACTGTTGATTTTTTTAAAAAACAGGTTTTTGAGTTAAAAATTACCTACCATAGAGTCCACCCATTTAAAGTGTACAACGAATTCAATGAGTCTTAGTAAACTTAAATAGGTGTGGAACCAATCACCATAGTCCAGTTTTGGGACATTTTCCATCACCACAAAAAAAATTCCCTTGTTGGTGGTCACCTGCCATTCATTCCCATCGGTCTGCCATCTAGCTTTGCTTTTCCTAGAACCTTCATACACATGGAATCGTAGACCATGTCGGCGGCGGCTTCTAGCTCCCACTTAGCATGATGTTTCTGAGTTCCATTCACGTTGTTCCATGAATCAGGAGTTCCCTAACCTTTTTATTGCTGAGTAGTATTTCACCGATTCAGCTTTGGGCTATGAAATGAAGTGGCTTTGTGTTGATGTATGTTTTCATTTCTCTTGGGCCAGCACCTAAAAGTGGAACTCCTGAGTTACATGGTTTAACTCTATATTTAACATTTGGAGGAAATGTCAAATTGTTTTCCCAAGTGGCTACACCATTTTACAAGCCCACCAACAATGAATCAGGGTTCGATTCTCAACATCTTGTCAACACCTGTCATTGTCTTTTCGGTCTTAATCATCCTGGAGGGTGTGAAGTATCTAACTGTGGGTTTAAAAAAATCGATATATAATTTACATGCCATAAAAGCTACCCTTTGAACGTGTGCAATTCAGTGGTTTCAAGTATATGTATGAGATTATTTAACCATCATCACTAATTCCAGAATATTTTCATCGCCCCACAAGGAAACCCCATACTCATTAGCAGCCCCTCCCCTTTGCCCCCTCCCCCACCCTGACAACTAATAATCTAGCTTCTGTCTCCGTAGACGAGCCTATTCTGAATATGTCATACAAATGGAATTATATAATATGTGGTCTTTTATGTCTGGCTTCTTTCACTTAGCAAAATATTTTCAAGGTTCATCTACGTTGTAGCATGTATGGGTATTTCATTCTTGTTTTCACAGCCGAATAATATTCTATTGTGTGGATATAACACATCTTGTTTACTCCACAGTTGATGGATATTTGGGCTGTTCCCATTTTTTTTTTTGGCTAATTTGAATAATGCTGCTATGATCATTTGTGGACAAGTTTTTGTGTAGAGATACATTTTCATTTCTCTTGGGTATATTTCTAGGAATGGAATTGCTGGGTCACACAGTAAACGCCATCTGAAAAATTGCCAAACTGGTTTCCTAAGTGGCTGCACTATTTTACATTCCCACTATCAACATAACAGGATTCCATTTTTCCCCATGTCCTTGTCAACACTTGTTATTGCCTTTTTAAAAAATATTTATTTTTATTGATTTCAGAGAAAGGGAGGGAGAGACAGAAACATCAATGATGAGAGAGCATCATGGATCAGCTGCCTCCTGCATGCCCCCTCCTGAGGATCGAGCACGTAACCTGGGCATGTGCCCTTGGCTGGAATCAAACCTGGGACCCTTCAGTCCGCAGGCCGATGCCCTACCCACTGAGCCAAACCAGCAGGGCTTGCCCTTCTCTTTGATCACAGTCATCCTAGTGGGTACGAATGCTCTCTCATTGTGGATTCAACTTACACCTTCCTAATGACTAATGTGTTGAGCGTACTTTTACGTTTTATTGGCCACTTACATATTATCTTTCGAGAAATCATTGTGGTTTTGATTTGCCAAGTCCACCGATGTTCCTAGCCCTGTGACCCCCTTTAAGAATATGGAAGCGCATCAACACAAACTAGGAAAACAGATGAATAGGTGATGCTTCCCTTTTATTGATTAACCAGAAGGAAAGCTCTCATGAAGGCACTTCGATGGCTATGCTCCACTCTGCACATTCTTAAGTTCTGCCCAAACATGACCTACGATGAAGCAGAAACCTGGTTTCCTCTCTAAAGCTTGAAGATACAGTGAGTACAATAAGTAAATCTTTTCATGTGGTACTTCCTAAATAAACAGGGCCAAGCAGCATAGCAAACCTGAGTGGGAGGCTTTTTAACCAAACTACCAAATATTTTTCTTCTTAGAGAAAAACAAGGTGATTTTTCTTCCTCCAGAGAAGAGTGAACCAGCAGCCAATTCAGCAAATTCTCTATATTTTATGAAGAGTCTTGTGAGAGCCTCAGTTGAACCTGGGAAAAAGGGCTTGCCTGAGACCGAACCTGCTATGAATAACAGGTTTACAATTTCTGAAAACTGGAGTTACAACTAATGGCTCCTTATTAGAGTGGGGCCAGGGAGAATGATGGATGAGGAATGATCTCTGAAAGGAATTTGCTTCATCTGATGGGGAAAAAAACATACAAAAACCCCACAGTATTTCACTGGAAACTTCTGAAGGATCTTTTCAGTTTTGAGTGTCTGAAGAGGTTAATACAGAAATCAAGCGTTACCATCAATAGTGACTCCTAACAGGCAGGAATCTTTGGCACCAAGTGTTACTCAAATACAAAGACAGAAGGGGCTGGGGGCAGGGGGCTGGAGGAAGGCAGCGGTCCCACCTGGGGCGACGTGCATGGAGACACATCAGGGAGAGCTTTGGTGGTGAGTGTCCACTGCTGGCTTATTTTACCCGGTCAGATTTTATACACAGTCAAGTGCATTAAATAACAGATAAACTTAGAATTTTATTTATTTACTATCTTAAACACCATGCTGCTCCTTTAAAAAATAAAAGGGGAGGGGAAATGGGAGATATCTGTAATAATATCAACAATAAAAATATTTTTTAAAATAAAATAAAAAAATTTTAAAAGCCAGGTTATCCTTTTTCCTAAAATGCCTCCAGGACAGTGAAGAGAAAAAGCCAGAAAAGGAATTATTAGATCATAAAGACACAGACTACTTTGGCAAGAAGAGATCTAAAGATGATTTCTGCCGAAACCGGTTTGGCTCAGTGGATAGAGCGTCGGCCTGCGGACTCAAGGGTCCCAGGTTCGATTCCGGTCAAGGGCATGTACCTGAGGCAGCTGATCGATGTTTCTCTCTCATCGATGTTTCTAGCTCTCTATCTTTCTCCCTGCCTCTCTGTAAAAAATCAATAAAATATATTTTTAAAAAAAGATGACTTCCTTCAAATATTAAATACTTCATTCTTTTATTCAACAAATATATCCTGAGCATTCACTATGTGCTAGATACTGTTCTAAAAACCAGGGATGCATTAGGGGATAAAAAAAGAAACAAACCAAATATGTATGACCCGTTGTGGTAAACGCGATAAAGAAACACAGAGTAATGAGACAGTGAACTGAGACAGACTCTTTTGAAATGAGGTGGCTGTGAAACTGCTCTCAGACTCAGTGAGATGGGGAATCGAACCAGGGGAAGGTTAGAGGGACCAGGGGAAGGTCAGGGGGACCAGGGGAAAGTCAGGGGGACCAGGGGAAGGTCAGGGGGGCCAGGGGAAGGTCAGGGGGACCAGGGGAAGGTTAGAGGGACCAGGGGAAGGTCAGGGGGACCAGGGGAAGGTCAGGGGGACGAGCCAGCTGGGCAGAAAGGGCAAAGGCGGAGGCTTGCTGCTGCTCCCGCGTGGTTTTCTGAATCCACCATAGGATTCTCAACAGAAAAATATATCAATTCCAAATAATGCATGAACACACTCCACGCTCAAGGAGGTGAGCCTAACGCCTGTGTGGCCTGTCCATAGTGACTTCCTTTCAGAGAGGACAGGTGGAAAGGGGGGAAAGAGAAACTTTGTGTTGGAAAACACTGACGAACACTTCCCAGCTAGGTGAGCCAGGTCAACAGCGACAGTGACAAATAATTTTAATCCTACGAACCCTTGATCTGATGTTAGAAAAGGGCACTTGCCTTCTTCCTCAAAACCTACAGTCCCAGTCTAATCAGGAGAAAGACTTCAGGCTAATCCCAACGAAGGGACCTTCTACAATACTTGACTAGAACTCCTCAAAACCGTCAAGGTCATCACAACACAAGGGCAGCCAGAGAAACTGTCGCAGCCCAGAGGAACCCAAGGAGGCATGACAACTAAACACAAAGCGGTGTCCTGGATGAGATCCCGGAACAGAAAAAGGCATTAGGTAAAAAACTCACACGACCTAAATAAAGTATGGCCTTTAGTTAATAATAATGTGTCACTACCGGCTCAGTGTTACAACCAGCATTCCATACGAATGGAAGGTGTTACTAATGGGGGAAACTGAGTATAGGCGATATGAAAACTCTCAGTACTAGCTTCATAATTTTTCTGTAAATTTAAAACTGTTCTATCATAAAAGTTTATTACAAACAACACTGCTCTGGCTACCAAGTGGAGAAGTGACTGACGTGGGTAAGAATGGAAGTAGGCACACTAGTCAGGAATCCTAGGCTTTGCTACTTAATTGCCAGGCAAACCTCGAGTTATTCTGTTTTACTATACCTTTATTTTCCTGCCTGTAAAGTGGGAATATTTACAAAAAGACAGCGAAGAGGATCGCTTCCTCTGTTACGTTAGCATTCTCTTGGGTTTAGGTCATCTCACAGAGCTCCATCATCTTTAATGAGATGGAGATACCTCTGGAAGATACAGGATAAGAAACAAGACCCCGGTGAGGAAAACTGGACAAATGTTATACAACCAAGGAGAGCCGACAGCCAGCAAACCGCAATCTGGTAACATGCATGCCCGCAGCTCCTAAAAATAGACTGGGTGAGTTCCAAAGAGGTGTGCCGGAGATTAACTGGACTTCCGTGTATCCCAGGGGAAGTCCTGCCGTCGCCCCAACCCCACTTAGACTAACTGCAGGGATGTGGATTATTAATCTCTCTCTTGTCTCTCAAAAACCCAATAATGCTTTTTAGGGTAGTGGTTACAAAGCTAGCTGTGAATAAGAAGATGGAATTTTTTTTTTTTAAACATAAAAATCAAGAGATCCCCCAAACCCAGAGATTCTGGTTCAGTAGGTCTGTGGCAAAGTCAAGGATCTATATATTTTTTAAACGCTTTACACGATTATAATATGTAGCCAGGTTTGACAATTATTATTTTATGGGTCATTATGAGTCATTAAATGTGTGCAAAACACCAGTTGGATACCATGGATCTTTAACTCTAAGAAGCCACCGGGAGACCTCTGGCATGGCGCGTGCTGACACATGAGGAGGCTGTGAGGGCCAGGATGGGGCTCCTGAAAAAAAGCTTCTCAAAACGGTGCCCAAGTTCGGTGGAATGAAACCACACTATTTCCCCTTCCTTTTACCTTTCTCCCAACTTTTCCTTTATGAGTTTTTCCTTTTTTCATAAAGAAAAACGACTTTAAAAGCAAACCCCAAACATCTCATTATATCTAATGCTGGTGACATTTGTGATAAAACTTTAAGAATTTGCAGTTATTATTATGATTTACCACACACTGTAGTTTTGTTTTTTAAAGGCATTTAGACACTTCAGAAAAACAAATCAGTTCTCCTGGCTCGTCTGAGGCAGCTAGAATTTCTTTATTCCAGGGTGAGTGTGAAGAGGTGTCAGTGGCCAGGTGTGCCACCCGGGGAGACATGAGGGCTCGATGCTGAGGCACTCCCCAGGGTGTAATGCCGACTGCTAACATGATTTAATGGTCTTTCTTTGTGGAAGAAGGTTTTGGGGGGGTGGGGGGAAGTCAATACAAAGACTATCTGGCAGGCTGTAAATAAATTCTTCTGAGCGCTACACCCACTTTATGCAAAGCACCTGTATCAGGGAGAGATTAGCAGATTAGAAGTCTGTTTAACAGAAGTCTAGTCAAGAAGAATCCTTGCAGAGAGTCCAATATTTATAAGACAGCTACACTTTGAAAAATAAACTGAAGATGAAAGGGACCATATCGGTATTTAGTCTCAAGCCCATTCTAACAATTCTCATTTTCACACGAATAAGAATTGGTATCAGAAACTATCAGGTGTAAACAGACTTATCTTGTTTGCCGTGCAGGAGAACTGCAATCTCCTTTTGAGGGTCAAATGGCTTCGGAGCTTTAATTTACAGCATTAAAAAAAAATACTATTGTAAAGTCAACCAGACTATATAACGGCATGAAGTATACTTAATTTTAAAAATTCAACCACAACGCTGTCCCACTCAACAAATTCAATTGATTTTACGTATACATTTTAATTGCTAAAATAGCTTGAACAGTTGTGACTGACTGAGGGTATGCATGAGGTTTAACTGATGAAATGGAACTGTGCTTTTTCCCCAGATGTTTTTTCCCTATTCTGTTCTATTTCACTAACCTTTAGAGCTGTAATGTTACAGTCTGAGGAGGCATGACCTAATATCAGATTTTCAAAGAAAAGATTTTGAATTCTAAACAAACCCAAAGGAATAAGTTACTTTTTGAGAGGGAGAAACAAAGCAAGACTCTCTACTGGTAGCTTTCATAATTCTACCTTCCTATGAAATGTAAATATAAATTGGTACACATTTCTGTAATTAATATACTGTGTTTGCAGAATACGGTCCTGAGAGATCTGGCCTGCCTGCCCAGACTAATGTCACTCCAGTATTGCTCTCCGTGAAGTCTCCAACCTCAGGGCCTTTACTCATGTGGAAACACCCCGTGGGCACACATTACATTTCCTTTCCGTGGACAATGTTTACACGGCCTGTCATTTTGGCTTCATATCATCCCTCCTTTCATCTCACTCCCTGCTTGTATTTGATGTTTTTTAATGTTACAGTAAATGATATTTTTCCTAAATTTAATTGTCTAAATGTTCACTGCAGGTAGAGAGAAATAATCAAAATTTTTATATTGACTTTGTATATCTTGCAACATTGCTATTAAGTCACAGATTTGTTCTAGTAGTGTTTTTGTAGATTCCTTAGAACTTTCTATATAGTCATGTCATCTGCAAATAGTAACAGTTTTACTTCTTCCTTTCCGATATTTCTGCCCCTTTCTTCTTGTGATGTTGCACTGGCTAGGACCTCTGGTACAACTTTGAATAGGGGTGGTGAAAGGGGACATCTTTGTCTTGTTCTGAATATTAGGTAGGGCAAGTATTCCAAAATTTAATCTTTGTATAATATTAGTTATATGTTTTTTGTAGGTATTCTTTACCAGATTGAGAAAGTTTCTTCTACTCCTTGTGTATTGAGAAGTTTTACTATCATAAATGGTTATTATATTTTGTCACATGCTTTTTCTGCATCTATTGAAATGATCTTATAATTTCCTTCTTTAAACTGCTAATATGGTTGATTTTGTGTATTAATATATTTGTATTTCTAAAACAAACCTCACTTGATCATGGAGTATTATCGTGTTTGCATATTGCTGGATTCAACTTGCTAATATTTTGTTAAGGTTTTTTTTCATCCATGTTCATAGGGGAATTTGTGATCAATTTTCTTTGCATTTGATTGCCTTGTATTCTTGTGGCATCAGTTTATAGGGGCCTGATGAAATGACTTGGAAGTGTTCCTTCTTCCTCTATTTTCTACTAGAAAATAGGGTTCTTGTATAGTATGCCAGCTTTATGTCAGATTTCTAGACTTTCTTCTTTAAGAATATGGTAATATTTAACAGTTAAGCCATCAGAGCTTGAAGTTTTCCTTGTGTGAAGTCAGTTATCAATACAATTTCTTTAACAGGTTTAAGACTATTTAGATTTTCTATTTATTTTTCCGTCAGTTTTATTGGTTTATCTTTCAAGGATTTGTGTATTTCACCTAGGCTATCAAATTCATTGGCAAAAGATTGCTCAGAATATTCCTTTAGCATCCTTATTATGGCTGTCGGATCTGTTGTGATGTCTCTTTTACATTTGTGATATTGGTAATTTGTGTTTTCTTTCTTTTTTTCTTGATCAGGATTTCTAGGGATTTATTAAATTTATTGATCTTCTTAAGAACCAAATGGACACTTTTTCTGTTCTCAATTCATTTTTTAAAGAAATGGAATATTATAGATAAAATTAAAGCCACTGTAATCCCCTCTCTAAACCCATTCCTCTCCTGTCCCTGAGTTTCATGTGTACTGTTCCCCCACCACTTGTATATTAAAGTCATGCTAACTTCTGCCATCGATGGGAATACTCCGATTACTCACCACGTTCCCTGCCTCTGCAGCCAGCCGGGCAGCATAGCGAGCGATAAGCCGGTGCTCCTCATCCAGTCGGCTGGGACTGTCCAGGACGCTGCCAAGGAGACAAACATTCAGCAAGTGTCTAGTAAACATCCCCTACTCTTGCTCCTCTTAGAAAGACAGATGGGAAATAAACTTGTAAAAAAAAAAACGAATGGTAACAAAAGAAACAGAGGCCTGGGCCACAGATACCATTGGTCTTCTGACACAAAGGGGACTTAGAGAAATAAGGCCACGCGTGTCATTTCTCATCAGCAGCACATCCCAACCCTCTTACACCACCAGAAGGACTGAGAAAAGACCGGGCATTTCCAAAGCCCGAGAGAGCGATTTCTAATCAAATGTTTTTAAAAACTCATGACTTTTGGACATAGGTCTTGAATTCAAAAAGACCAAGCATCATGAAAAAACAGGGCTGAGAAAAATTCAAACTAATATTGGCTGAGGCATCCAGGCTGGGTCAGGTCCAGTTTACAGTAAATTTGGTGATCACATGGTAGCAAACATTTTCTTTCAATGCCTCTCTCTCTTCTTTTTACCATGCTTGTTCTACAAATATAGCCCCATCTTAGAGTGAAGTAATTTAGTGCCATTACCCTTTAACAAGAGTTCCAGCACTCTGAAAATTTAAAGACCCACGTAGGTGGGATATCAGGTAATGCCACACCTGGATGAAAAAAAGCGTTCTTGTGTAGTATGCCAGCTCTATGTGATGCAATGAACTTTACATGAAATAACTGCCTCCATTACTCAGTATGTTACATCAGCTGTCCTTTGTTCCTATCAGGCACTCCTAGATTAATGAGGACTGTGGCTATAGAATTCTCTTTAAGTCTGGCAGAACCTTTAAGATAACGGAGATGATGATGACTGACCAGAGATGGCTGTTGTGGCTTGCTTTTACTTTGGTCCTAGGTTCTTGGAGTTCTGAAAACCCTTGATTGGAATTAAGCAAGATGACAAGTAATATGAAAAAATGTAAAGACATGAGTTTAATACTCATCAAATCTTGCTATAGTTACTGAGGGGCATCTGGGAAGGGTGAAATTAAATTAACAAGGATCCATTTGGCCTTTTCATGTACACTATCAGCTGTATTTTTCCTGGATTTTTTTTTTCCACCTTTCGATATTTCTATCTCTGTGGCTAATTCTTTAAGTTTAGTCTTTCCTCTAGGATGAATATTTTAAAAATGTGCTTTAAAGTCTTCTGCCTATGACACTTCCGAACACTTTATAATTTTAGGTGTGCAAATGTCAGTTTCCAGCACATGTAATCATCCTCTCAAAAGATGAGCTTATAATAAGAGCATGCTACCGCCAGGTAGCTTTAATAGGTCACAGTCAAGGCTGCAAGGTCTGGGCTGAAATATACTTGTGCCTTAAAGGTGTTTGTCTGAAAAAAAGAGAACTATCTTTATCTTTAAAAAAAAACCACAAAACAATAGAAATGAACATTTAACCACAAAGCAGATAATATTATGGAGGGACTGGCAGCCTACGAAGTCTGGCAGAGGACACAACAGGCTCCTCTGTGCAAGACCTCCTTCTCCATTCCAGTCCATCTCCCAGGGAAGGCTAATCGCTTAGTCATTTATCCCCAAGTGCAGACAACATGGCTGCTTTCATTGGCTTTGTTTTCCAACCAGAAACTAGAACGTTGTGTTGATGAGAGGCTTTAAGGTCAAGAAAAATTAGAAAGATTCCCTACTCTTCTGCTTGAACTGACTTGCATTTTCAGAATTAGCCAGGAAATTTCTTATTTCTTCGTGGAAGTCGGAAGCTCAGTTCCTCAGACTGTAAATCAAGACGAGATGTAATACTCACCCAATCTTCATGTGCTCCCAGAGTTCCGGCGACCAGTTCTTGAGCAGGGAGCCTTATTGCTAAGCCAAAGACTTGAGGACTTTGGCTAAACCCACCATAAAACTTCTTGGGCTAAAATATCAGGTGGCAGTTGCTGTTCAACACGCTGTTGCTACTTTCACCCCGGAAACTTTTAATCACCTGGACAACTGCCCTGACTGGGTTTCAGGGAGCTATCCTGCCATGGGTGAGACAACTCGATTCCTACAGACCCTGGGGCTGGGGTAGAGGGCACAGGGGTCATCTGCTGGATGAGAGGACTCTGTGATACGATGCTCAAAGGTCAGGGTTTCCTTCTCTCCCCTAGGATAAGCCTCTCACACATACGAGGGAAGCAGGGGAACCCTACAGTCTCTTTAAAGCTTTAGAGACAGGTAAATGCCTAAACGGAGAAAACTATGAGGAATGGTATAAAGCATAATAATGTAATATTAAAAAGAGTCCTTTTAAATTATTTTTCTCATTATCATGTTTCTGTTATCATGGGAAATAAAAATGACCTTCCCCTGGAACTATGGCATGCTATAGGCAAAGCTAAGATCAAAAGGTAAGGTCCAGCCTCTCTTATGTGTTTAGCTTATGGATTATGGGTTTCATTTTCTCTCAGAATAAGCATCTCGAGTTGTCTGGCACAGCGACTCTTCTTTGCTGCATGTAGAGTGGCTGGAATGGAGTTAGGTTATGTAAACTTTTCCTACATTCTCCTTGCAGAGTGGTGGTGGGTGTGGGCATGGATCAGGCAGGTAGCTCTGGGTCTGCCTGAATGTAACAGCACTATGTTTGGTGTTAATTCTTTCAAATGGTGAACTCTGCTGTAGTAAGTGGCTATCAAATGTTTTTCCATCCCAACCCACGGAGGGATCAGTCCCATTTCCATATTAACAAGGGGCCACTACAAGCATAGTTTCCAGGGAAAGGGGTAAGTGGGGCTACTATAGTATAAATAATTATTATGATATGAGGAGGTGTATTATCATTTGGAAAAAGTCCCTAAGGTGTCAATGATCTAGTACCACTGTTGAAAACCCCTGGTTTAAATAATCAACAATGATAGCTCTTGGGGAAGAGATGAAGATGTAACATGTAAAGTTGTAACAGGGTGATGGTATGAAAGATTAGACAAAGTGAGATCTCTGTGGGTTGATCAACCCTAAGCTTTGAATATCAACAGGAAGATTCCATTGTTTAGGCAAGAATGAACAGTGAGAGGTTGCATCAGATACCTCTGTGAGTGTACATCTTCGGGACTGGATATCTCTGAGTATACACTCTTTAAGAATAATATAATCTGAAGGAAGTGAGTTTCTCTTTCAAGGAGAATTTCTGACTCTATGGTTAGGTAGGTACCTAGGCATGGCAAGACTCCTTCTTTTCAAGAATGCTACTTTCCAAGAATGCTTTGGGAATTACCTAAACTCAGCCCAACATAGCTGGTAGCGCCTCAAGAAAAACCCCACATGCAGAGCTTCTTCTAGCTGACAACCCCAGGCCCCATAGCTCTCCCTCCCTTTGCTCAGCCCTTGGATACCCGCCTGCTGCTGCCCTCCCACTGACCGTGCACAGTGCTGAAGACGGGCCACATAGGCGGCTATCAGCGCGTGCTCATCGGCCAAGTGGCTGGGTATGTCCTGGCTGTACTGTAACCTAGGAACAACGGAGGCAAAGACAGCAAGCGTGACACACACACAGAGCGAGAAATGAACATGAATTAAAATGGGCAAATTTCAAAGAAATATAGAAAAATAATAAATCACGATAAGGAAAATAAAAAAAGTTGCAATGCACAGTGGAATATGGTGTTAGGACTTGGGAGTATCTCTCACGGATCCTTGAACAAAAGCAGTCCCTCAGGAGACAGCTTTGGCCAATGGACACTACAGCCCTTGAGAAAAGAAACCAAGGAGAGTCTCATCTCCAAGGCGCCTTGGGCCCCGTCTTGTCCAGGTGCTGGGCACAGGTGGGTACACCTTGAGGGGAATGCCCGCTGGCAGGAAAACAGGCAGAGTGGGTCTACTTAACACCACCAAGTGGCCCCCTAATGCCTTGATAGCTTTTGTCTGCATGTAAGAGTTTTCAATGTTATCTAATGATACCAGTTAAACCTTTTTATTTCTATAAGGATACTGTCTTTAGCATCATTCTGTTTTCTCTCATACAACTGGTACTTAAGCCAACTTGTTAGAATTGTATCTCATTGTAAGACAACACTATACATACTAAGTGAGGCCCTATCTTATAGATACATGCAAGGTCTTTGAGCATACTATCTTTTTAAAAAAAAACACACACAAAAAACACCACACTTTTATTATGGAAATGTTAAAATATGTGTAAAACAGAGAGAGTAGTCTAATGACTACACTTCATGTACCCATCACCAAACTTCAACAAAAACCAACCCTTTCCTATTTATTTGATCTATTTTTTTCTTCCCATAATATTTTTTTGCAGGAAGAAATGGTTATAGCAAATCCCAGACAATTTATTATTTCGCTTGGAAGTAATTTACATAACCTCAATGCCATTATCACACCTGAAAAATTAACAAAAAATGTTGTAATAACTCAGTCCATCTGAAAACTTCCTCAGTCTTTTTTTATTTTATTTTTTATTTTATTAAATCTTTATTGTTCAGATTATTACATTTGTTCCTCATTTTTCCCCCCATAGCTCCCCTCCACCCAGTTCCCACCCCACCCTCTGCCCTTATCCCCCCACTGTCCTCATCCATAGGTGCACAATTTTTGTCCAGTCTCTTCCTGCACCCCCACACCCCTTTCCCCCTAAGAATTGTCAGTCCCGTCCCTTTCTATGCCCCTGGTTCTATTATATTCACCAGTTTATTCTCTTCATCAGATTTTTTATTCACTTGATTTTTAGATTCACTTGTTGGCAGATATGTATTTATTGTCACTTTGTTGCTCATAATCTTTATCTTCACCTTTTTCTTATTCTTGCTCTTCTTAAAGAATACCCTTCAGCATTTCATATAATACTGTTTGGTGGTGATGAACTCCTTTAGCTTTTTCTTATCTGTGAAGCTCTTTATCTGACCTTCAATTCTGAATGATAGCTTTGCTGGGTAAAGTAATCTTGGTTTTAGGTTCTTGCTATTCATCAG